TTGTTTTTGCTGTATTTGTTTTTGGGGTCTTACTCATAAAATCTTTGCCTAGACCAATGTCTATAAGAGTTTTTCCTATGTTTTCTTCTAGAATTTTTATGATTTCAGGTCTTACATTTAAGTCTTTAATCCATCTTGAATTAATTTTTATATGTGGTGAGAGATAGGGATCCAGTTTCATTTCTGCATTTGGCTATCCAGTTTTCTCAGCACCATTTATTGAACAGGGCATCCTTTCCCCAGTGTATGTTTTTGTCTGTTTTGTCAAAAATCATTTGGTCATAGCTAACTGGTTTTATTTCTGGGTTCTTTATGCTGTTCCATTGGTCTGTGTGTCTACCTTTATACCAGTACCATGCTGTTTTGGTTACTATTGCCCTGTACTATAATTTGAAGTCAGGTAATGTGATGCCTCCAGATTTGTTCTTTTTGCTTAGGATGACTTTGGCTATCCAGGGTCTTTTTGATTCCATATGAAGTTTAGAATTAAGTTTTCTGGATCAGTGAAAACTGATGTTGGAATTTTGATGAGAATTACGTTATCTTTTCATGATAGTTTGTGCTTAATTTTAGTTGGTCAGTGTAAGCACTCATATAATCTGTGTGTATATACACACACCATACACACACACACACACACACACACCTCTGTGTGTGTATATATAGGGCACACTCAGTGCTTGCCTTTGTTGGATGGAAATTCAGCAGCATTAGAGGATTTAACAGCTTGAGAAGGCAGTTTCAGGGACAAGAAATAAATAGAGTTCAAGAGAAAGTCAGAACAAGGAAAATGAGCATTTACAAAGCAACCAGTTCCTCATTGGGAGGCTTTACATCTCACACGGCTGGGGGACAATTGCTTTCATGGGGGTGGGGAGGCACAGCTTTGGCATTGATGAATAGTGTGCTAGTGCTCTCCATTTGAGTGGTCACCCCAGCTCTCAGGGCACCATGTGGTCTTTCAGTGTTGACAGAACAGCAACTACATGCCAGACCTTGAGGGCAGGCATGGAGATCAACTAGAGCAATGCTGCTCCCCATCCTCTTGGAGCATAATTTTAGCAGAGGAGACTAACATTGGACATGTAATGATAAAATAGATTAGTTATGATTGAGATGAACAATCTCAAAGTACACAGAAATGTAAAAACTGACCACAGGGGCCTGAGCTTGTGAGGCACTCAGGGATGCAGTCTTGATTTGCTTGTTGAAGGATGAGAGGACATGTAGTGGGTAAGGCAGGAGGAGGAATTTTGGGATCAGCTTGTGGGATGCCCTGGTGTGAGAAGTTGTAAGGCCAGTCCGAGGACTGGCTGGCATGAGAGAGCGAGCGCAGCAGAGGTGAGGAGGGCAGGGGCCAGATCTCACAGCCTGCGTGTTGCCGGATGGATTTGTCACATCCCGTCCTTCAGTTCTCACTGCTTCCCACCCCCTTGCCACCCTTGCATCCCATGTGATGTCATGATGTCAGACTCTCTCTCTCGCCTGTGAGATGGGAAAAACACGTGTGAGCAGGGGACTGCACCCCACGGGCCGATCTGGGGTTTGCGGGGCCTGAAGCTTATAGAGTTTGGGGGAGGGGAGTCTTGAAGAAAAAAATGTGAAAATCTAAACACAAAGTTAGGTGCAAGGCCTTGGGAAGGGCTGTGTCAGTGAGGGACTTCCCAGCCCAGGTTTCGTTAGCTCGGTGGGGAGCAATCTTTGCGGCTTTCCCTCTGTTCTTAAAGCTCATGAAACCCTCCTGTCATCTTGCCTGAGATGTTCATGCAGTGCTGCCACCCACTTCCTCCTCTTTTCTCCGTGGTTGAGATAGCTAGTAAATAACAAATGTCTTCTATTGAGATCTCCTGGAAATTTGGCTCTCTCCTTGACCCCAGTAGTTTCCAAAAGAATATGGGAATTTCCTCTTTTTGCCCAAGACTTCCATGATACTTTCCCCTGTAATCAAAGAAGGGAATGTTGGCTGGGACACTTTATTCTTTTGGAAATGTGGCACAGGAATGTGAATTTCCACAGGCAAAATTACTCTGTCTCGTTGAGTCTAGACTGTCCATTGGCCAGCAAGTTTTCTGGAGCCCACGCTGGTGCTCTGAGATGCCGCCTGAACTTATTCTGTGGGAGTGGAACAAATCACCTGGAACTATGTTTTGTGGGAGGGAGGAAACTCACAAACATGAGCAATGACAATGAAGAAGTTTAATAATAAATAAATTATAACTAAAAAACGGCAACAGCCTCTTCTCTCCAAATCCCGCCGAAATGATCAAAGGCATCTAATGTTCGTGAAAAGCGTCCATCCTCTGGAACTCAGGGAGGCTGCTGACATAGATCAGAAATGTCAGAGAGGTTGAGACCAGATTGAGGGGAAGACTAATAAGCCCTCCACATAGCGTCAAGAGAAAGAAACTCTAATGCCTCGCAAAATAGTGCTCCTGATATCCTGACCAACCTCCACAGATAGGCCCAACCTCAGGCATATCTGGCAAGATCTCTGGAAATACGTTGGTTTTTGCACACCAAGTATCAGGCCCAGCACTGGGTGGGACTTTGACCTTTGAGCCCCCATCTTGGTTAGAGAAAGGTACATGTCCCTGTTAACTGCTGGCTGCCCCACCAAGAAACTGAAAGAATCCCTTCTGCTCTGTTGTGGTTCCCTCAGTCTAATGGCCTAATTGCCTTTGACTTTTTTCCTTTGGGTCTAAAAATTCAGCACAGCCCCATTGCTGAGGCAGAAACTATCTCAAATATAAATTTTCCACCTACCCAAGAGAGCACATAGTGGGAAATGGCCAGACTAAAATCAAAGAATTCTTTACTCAGCTGGATTATTGTTCATGTAAGAGCATCTAAAAGATGGATAAGCAGACAGAAAGGACACCTACCATCTTCCCTTCTTGAAAAAACTACTTGAAAAAGCACTTCAATAGATCAGAAAGTCAATCATATAAGAAATGCACTCGTGAAATCAAGACCACTGTTGATGTGGGCTTCCTTGGAGCCTTAAGAAGGCCCCTCACCATGCTGGGGGCTGGCTTCTTGGAGGTGGGAGTAGAGGGTTTGAAGGGCTTAGAGGAAGAATGAAGGAAACTTGCTGTTATTTACTCATTTGCTGTTAAATCCCGTTTCACCCTTCCTGTCATGTCTCTCTTGCAGACTGTTTTTGAAAGGAATTGCCGTTCAGACGATTGTGCTGCTGACCTGCAGCTTCGCGGTAAACTGTTGCTCTCCAGGTATGTCGATGTTCCTGTCACGACATTGTGCTGAGAAACTCATTTTTCTTGACTCCAGGCCCAAAACCTGAATGTGCAGCTTTCCTCACTGAAGAGGGTAAACAGAGTTGGTGGATTGCAATGATATTTTGTGCTTTTTAAAAATGTGTATTATAAAATAATTTTAACAACAGCTGTTATTTTGGAGTGATAGTTTCGGTTTGGTTTTGCTTGCAACTCCTCGTATCTCACAATTTAACTTATATTTCTAATTTCTGTTGAGTATTTTTGTGAGGGGGCTGTTTTATGGTTATTTATTGTATTAAGTTGAATCATAATGAACTTGCCAATTTTTGACCTTTGGGACAATTTCGTATGATTCAACCTATTATTATATAAAGGTTCTTCTTACCCCACCGCCACTTAGTAATGGTGTCTGCTTTAACAACGAGCAGTGTTTCCGTGGCAAGGCAGGGTGACAGAGAGCAGCAGGCTGTCCTGATTCAAGTGAACAGTCTCTTTATTGTTTCGGGGTTTCCTTCTGCATTACACAAATCCCCCGAGGCTAAAGGTGAACTTTAGGGACCTTCTGTTTCCTCTTTGCCAACCTTTTATTTTAGATTTCTTTTAGGTTGGAGATGCTGGTCCTGTATCATTTAGCCACATACTAGAGAATGGTTTCCTTTTGAAACAATTTCTTCTGAAAGATTGTTTTAGCCTTGGGGCCAGAAACCCCTCTGTAAGATTTATTACCATATCTTAAAAACAGTCATCAGTTTCGATGATTATTTTCCAAAATGCCATAGTGTGTCCCTTACTCGTAAGTATGAGAGTTGAGTTTGGATGGAATGAAAGAAATATCCCATCATGAATCAGTGACTACACTGGGACATTTTTACTTATGATGATAAATTATCTTTTATTCATCAAAGGAAAGTAATACTAAGATTCCTTTTCTTCTATTTGAGTTTATTGGGGGAAAGTGATGTAATACCCACCCAGATACACACACACGCAGACACAAATAGTCCTCCAAACCACTTAAATATTAATTAGCATTACTTTTACTTGAGGCAAGAGTAGTAGATTAAAGTACCACATGTTTTGCCAAGCTTAGAAAATTACTTAAAACTCCTGGAGTGAATGTTGGAATTGCTTAACATTAGTAAGAAGGGCCTCCTGGGATTATTAGAGAAACCATTCTAAAAAAGATTCATAAAAATCAGCTCATGAATTTTCATTTTAAAAAGATCTTCCAAAAAAGAATTTTAGGGAAAAAGTAACAAGAAACAAAAATATATGGATTTGTTTTATCTTGAGGAAGACTGTAAATGCTGGAAATTTATTTTGGATCATAGAAAACTTCACGTGGTGGGAAAATGTTCACTTGCTCCACGGTTAAATACTAAGTTAGGAAAGTTGCAATGCTCACACTGCTTAATAGATGGTCAAATCCATCTCTATTGAATTGTCCTTTTTGTATATTAAGATGGAAATTTCAGGGCTCAGTAAAGCACCTTGTGGCTAAAGCTGCCTCTGCTGCCCCACCTGGCCTTTCAAGAGTGTGCTCAGAGCCAGTTATGCTCTGTGGGCCCACTAGTCAGTAATGCTAGAACAACTAGTATGGTGGCCAGGATCCAGACCCCATATGTGACAGCTACCTATTGCCACAAAAAATGCTACACAAGAGATCACCCCAAAACTCAGTGGTGTAAACCGTAATCATTTATTCGCGTGGATCTGCCAGTCAGCTGAGGGTTGGCTGATCCAGGCTGGATTCAGCTGGCTCTCGGCGACTTGTTCAGGCATCTGGGTTCATCAGAGGGTGGGTTCTAGGCTCGGTAATGCAGCTGAGCTCTACTCCATGTATCTTTCATTGTTCCCCTGGAACCAGTGGGCTAGCCTGGGCACATTCTTCTCATGGCATGGCAGAGGCACGAGAGGGCAACCAGAAATGTGCAGTGACTCTTAAAGCCTAGGCTCATAACTGGCGTGCTGTTATTCAGCCTTGTCCTGTTGGCCACAGCAAGTCACATGGCCAGACCCAAAGTCAAGGGAGGAAATATTCTCTGCCTTGTAGTGAGAGGACCTACAAAGTCACACAGCAAAGGGCATGAATATAGGGAGAGGTGAAGAACGGGGCCTGCGATGCAGTCCAGCACACCGCGTAAGGACAGTGCAGCCCTGTCTCTTACCCTGACACCATAGTTGTCAGGGCCATTTCAGCCTTTCTTGCAAGTCCATCTTCCTAGAACTCAGACATGAGATCTGGAGACTGGGTGAGGAGATGTTCTGAACCTCAGAAACAATGTCCTTGGACCAAAGCTCTGACCCTCTCCTTAGGATGAGTTATTTCCCAAAAGGACCCCTGATCTCTCAAAACAGCCTTTTGGCTGGCTCCTCTGTTAAAGAAACATTTGTTATACTCCTGGGTGGGCCCATAGCTATTCCCCAGGAGCCATCAGGGCAGTGTTAATTGATATTTGGATAAGTAGAGATACAAAACCAAGCCTGTGGGCCGGGCACGGTGGCTCACGCCTGTAATCCTAGCACTCTGGGAGGCCGAGGCGGGTGGATCATTTGAGCTCAGGGGTTCGAGACCAGCCTGAGCAAGAGCGAGACCCCTTTTCTACTAAAAGTAGAAAGAAATTAATTGGACAGCTAAAAATATATATAGAAAAAATTAGCCGGGCATGGTGGCACATGCCTGTAGTCCCAGCTACTCGGGAGGCTGAGGCAGGAGGATCGCTTGAGCCCAGGAGTTTGAGGTTGCTATGAGCTAGGCTGGTGCCATGGCACTCTAGCCCGGGCAACACAGTGAGACTCTGTCTCAAAAAAAAAAAAAAAAAAACCAAATCTGTGGTTTCAGTTGTATTGGATTCTCCAGACCTTCGAGTGTGCGCTCCTCAGAGCCAGGCACAACCTGGGGGAGGGCACAGTCAGTAAACTGCTAGTGGAACCAGGTTCTGAATTTGGTTGACAGAGGCTTAGTGGCTTGAATGGGTGGTGAGCTGCTTTGGTTGTCATTTAACTCTCTTTATTCATCATGGCCTGGGATAGGGTGTATATTCCTTTGTTGTTCGAGCGAGGCAAATACTAGGCAGCAGGCTGCAGAAGTGAGCGACACGTGGACCCTGCTCCTGGTGTGCCCGGCTAGGGTGGGAGAGGGGCAAGAGACTGGGTGACAGTGGCACCACCTGGTGAGTGCTAGGAGAGCGGTGGATGGATTATTACAGGACCATGGGACAGCTTCCAAGAGGTGGTATTAAAGGGAATGAAAGGGACTCAGGCATTCTGGGCAGAGGGAAAATATGAGCAGAGGTGTGGATAGCAGGACTCCATGAAGAACTGCAGGTGTCTGGAGTGAAAGAGGTGGTCAGGGGAACACAGAGAGAAACAGGGTTGTGACACACCTTCGTTTCGGAGCCCATGGGAGTACAGCCACGTTGTAGCATAAGTCATTTAACCTCCTGAGGCTGCAGCTGGGCACACTCAAGGAGCCGGGGGTGGGGGTGAGAGAGGAGGGGAAGAGGAGAGAATACTGAGAAGGGGTAGGTCATGTGCTTCTCTTTTCCACCCCATGAAACTGTGTTCCGGCTTGAGTTTTGAGCCTGCTCCTCTCTCTGTCCGCCTCAGTTTCTGCTTCCCTGACATAGGTCTGTGGGGCAGCTGCTGCGGGTCTCCGTGAGGGAGCACCCCACAGGGTTGAACTTACGAGAGATGTTGTGTTGATTTCCACCTTGGTGCCTCCCCAAGGGCTTCCCAGGGGCAATTTGGGCACAGTTTTCTGTGCTGTCCTTAGACTGTAGCTCTCATGTTAGCTGTGACCTCACTGTATGAAAGTTGAAGCAAAGGCGTCACAGAGAAAGATTCCTTTCATGATGCGTAGACAGTTGGTACAAGGTGTTGTGCCTGGAGGCAGCTGAATACCCACTGGACTGAGGAGCTTTTGTGTTAAGAAAACAGAGAGAAAGACATCTGGGAGTGATTGGGTCACTCGGAGTGGCCAGGGATCAAGCCAGGAAATGCTATCTGTGCCCAAGACTCATGGATATTTTTATTTTTCTCTCCAGAGAGCATGAATTCTGGCAGGTCTGTGATCTCTTAAAATAATCAACTCTTCAATTAAAAGTCCATGATCTCTAATGGACTTAAGCCTAGTTCCAAAACATGACTTTGCCAAACATCCACGAATAGGGATGAAACTGGTCAGGAAGTTTCTATTGAACAGGACTGAAAATCCCATTTGTAAAATGATGCAACTGTGTTTTGTCTTTCTGAATACTCACAGAACCTATGAAAGCGTCACATGTGATTAAGATAAAGAAAAATAGACTATAGTAGTTGAGCTAAAAAAAAAAAATTTTTTTTTGATGCAGCCCATCGGATATCAGTGGAACATTTCAGTGCCTCCCAGCTAGCCAATTGCAATAAAAGAAAGAACTTTTAAGGGAGGTGAAAAGACAGCAGGATATTTGTGAAGTTACAGCCATCTAACAGCAACATCTAAGAGCTATGTCCTATGGTTGTAGCCTTGGTGATGCTGTTATCACAGGGATTGGGGGGTGTGTGAGATGCATTTCCTAAAACTGCGGGCTGGCTGAGACACAGGTAGCTCCATCCCTGAAGACCAGCCTTCTCGAGGACCCGCTCACCCAGAGAGCTATGTAGAGTTTGAAACAAATTGTTTTCCTTCTCAAAAGTGGCAAAGTGGTTGGAATCATCAATTGCATAGCATAGGGTAGAAGTAAAAGTTGTGTTGTTTTATGAAGGAGAAGAGACCCTTGTTTATGGAGCACCTACCAAGCATGAGGTATCCTACAGAGTACTCAGTGTGCATAAAAACACCGTAGTATCTCACCAGCCGCATAACCTTGGGCACGTTGCTTAACGTCTCTGTGCCTCTGTTTCCTCCTTTATAAAAAGGGGAAAATAACAGCAGCACCTTGCAAGGTTATTCTGAATACTAAATGAATTAATACATATTTAAGTGCTTCTGAAAGTGCTTGACATAAGCAGGT